TTTCGCTGCCGCTAGCGTCTTCGCTGCGTGGCATTTTCGCTGCACTAGCATTTTCGCTGCACTAGCATTTTCGCTACCGCTGCAATTTTCCGCTGGTGCGAGGCCTTTTCATGTAAGTTTTACGGGCACAAAGTAATTTTTGTACGCGTTCAATTTGATGTTAGAGGGAACACTGTTGCGGGCCGGCGTGGGGTTTTCCACCCCAGACCCCGACCGCTGGCGCGGGGCCTTTGCGCTCGCCGCTAGGGCCCACTGCGTGGTGCTAGCGCTCGCCGCGAGGCCCACTGCGTGGGGCGCATAAAGGAGAACGCTGCTGGACTCGAACGGCGGACCTCCCGCGAAGGACAAAATTACTGAGCGCATTACTGCTCAGCGATGACACCCATTGATTACAATGCAGTTGTGTCGGTCCCGTTGACCCGGGCCTTCCGGTGCCTGTGTTCTTTGCGTGAGTTTAAATTCCCAATAAGAGGCTGACTCACGCGACGAGGCGTTGCTTTTCACCGCCTAGAGGGAATAGTCAGGTTGGACTACTATCGGATAGTTTCCGCCTACCGGAGACATCCACGGGCTTTTCCGGATTCTCAAGGATCTCTCGGAACTTTCTGTGCTGTGTCTTGTTCAGCCGTTGGCTATGCGCGGTTTGAACCGGGTTCAACATTGTCTTCAGACCCTCCGTGAGCTTTCCAATCACTTCCGATGCCCCGCCGGATTCAGCCGCCTCCATAATCATCTCCGTGTCATTAATGTGGTCCGGATTCCCCACTCCGATGTTTTCTCCCAGAGTAAGTTGATACAGCGTGTGATCTTGGGCGAGCAGCGCTTGCGCACTGCGGAGGTCAGCAAGGCGATAGTTCTGAATGGGCAAGCCGTCCACAAGAACTTCTCCTGAATCCACGTCGAATAGCCGATTCATCAGCTTTATCAAGGTTGGTTTTCCATTAGCTCCGACTATTACGATCAGATGCCCAGCAGGAATCTTGAACGAGACGTTTTTGAGGGTGATTTGATTTCGCACCCGGGTATGCAAACGAGACATTTCTAGGACGGAAGTTGGGCCCGGTGATAAGTTGAACATGTTATGCGCACTTGAACTCGAACTTCATCCCCTTGTCGCTGCTGGAGGTGGTGTTGGGGTACTCTTCGTCTCCGTCTATAATTTTGTTCTTCACCGAGCCAATCTTATATAATTCATTGATATCAGAGATGCAAGTGGACAACTCGGAAAACTGGAGGATTAATCCCGTGATAGTCGACCTCAAGTCTTGTGCATGCTGTTGGAGAATTGCGAAGGATGCGATGCTGAAATCTCTGGGTCGCATAATCACACTTGCTGCCCAGTAGAACTTCAAAAGGTTCAGTGCCTCCATCGATGAATCCTAAGCAACACGTACCGTTGGCAGATCCACACTGAGCAACGGGAGCATACCGCTCAACGGGGAGCCCGGGTCGCTATGCAGGTCATCTGTTATGTCGCCCAGTCCCTCTCTGGCCCTTTGATATTCTTCCCGAACGCGAAGTTAAAAAACTCGCTGTCGCTTGTCAAGTTCTCGTACCCTCGACAATCCAGTCCATCATGTTTGCGGAGATGGCTTGTTCGTGGTATGGAGGGTGACAAAATTTCTTGAGAACTTGGAGGCGGAGATAGTCGACGTTGTTGGAGTACACGACGTACGCTGCCGTAGTGATCAATATCTAATTCCAGAGACGCAGTGAACTATCCCACACTTGTTCCACATCCCCCTCCAGCTGAACTTTGAGATGAGGAAGGGGCTCAGGAGGGAGAGCGCGGTGAGTGTTATACCTCCGCTTGGTTGGCGGAGTGTGAAGATAATTTGACTCAGCAGTTGGAAATTCCTCTGGAGAATTGAACTGAAAAGCTCAAACCGACGCCACGCTCTGGACGGGTGCACAGAGACTTCATTATTCTTATCTAGTCGTGTGTCAACGTTTTGAGTCGAGTATTTCTCGAGGTAAGGACGCAGGATTACCGGCGCTTGTTGGTACGTCCAAACGGAGTCGCTCTAACACAATGTTAGGGAGATTGATCTCCTCGAAGCCGAAGAGATGAACCTCGCATCATGTAGTCTTGAAAATGGGCATTCACTCGACTCCGAACGAGGGGCGAGGTACGATTTCTGAATAAACACTGGGAATTAGCGCATCCATAAAATGAATGGGATGTACCCACCGAGCCCATCCAGCTATCGATGCGAGCACTATGCAAAGTAGCCTGATCATCACAGCATAGAGGATCGCTGCGAGATCGGCCTGTCCCTCTATCAAAGCCTTTTCCACCTAAAACGTTGAGTCAGGGAACTCAGCGCGGCTAATCTCTCTACGATCACCGATCTTAGCAGTCGACTGGATGTACCGTAGTATTTCGTTCAAATCGATAGTCACGCGTCACGCACCCCCCTATCGATATCGAATTTTGGTCGATGTCACGCGTCACCCGGGCTAGTATCGAATTGGTCTAGAGGTTCGGAAAATGGTGTTAAAATGCAGATAAATTCGGAAAATATATTCACGAGACCTTGCAGTCAGTGTTAAGTCAGAATCTATACGCTTTCCATGTAGGACCACCAAATGACCGTTCCACCCCACTTCTGGCGTGAAATCTTGGTCAAATCGCGTCAAGAAAGGTGTAGGAATAAAAATTGTTGAAGGCAGTTTAGCACATAGCTATATATTAGGTGACTGTGCTGGCACTAAGTACCAATGAAAGGGCATCGTTCCGCCCGATTATCGAATTTTTTGTCGCTGTCACGCACCTTTCAGCCGGCTATCGAAAGGTCGAATTGGTTGAAGTAGTCACGCGTCACACTATGGTTCGATTTGATCGAAATACTACGGTATACAGCATCATTGTCGCTTCAAGGGATTGAACAAGCCGCAGCAGGGAAAGGAGTAGAATGAAGCCGGACGCCAAGCTGTATATCTCCTTCATAAAACGCCAGACGAGGGCGATATTTGACTTTAGCTCGATTAATTGCATCCGCGAGACTGAGAATCCACGCAAAAGTGATGCGCTAGAGGCAGAATCGCTGGCAAACAATACACGCCATACACCCAGCTGCTGGGTGGTGTAGAGTAATCTTCTAGCTTCGAGTCCAGGGATTTGTCATCTTCCGCGCGCAACTTCTCGGTTTCCATGGTGCACCTTGACAAAAAATTAGTGAGCTCTGAGGGCTGGAGGAGGAGGGAGTAGTCGTGGTGTGGGACAAAGATCGAGTCACACAGCATGACGGCACCTGTCTGCCGGTTATGACGGGGTTTCTCGGACATTATTCGAATGCAGAGCAATGCAGTCGATGCAATGCAATGCAAATCAATGCACTTCAATGCTCAGCGATGCAATTGAGTGCACTTCGATGCAATACAAATGCACAAGTACCAGGACTGAGGTTCAACTGCACTTCTGCATTGCATTGCACAAATTAGCCGGATCCAGTACCGCCGAACTGATGCAATCGATCACGGACCTTCGGCAGGCCGATGGCATGGAGTCCCCATGGACCATCACCCAACACATTCTGTCCCCCATGATTTTGATTCCAATCCGTACCAGATGGAGGGATCCCCTTTGAACAGTAGAATTTTTGTGTGACGCTCAATGAATTCCGTCACCAAATAATGACACCAAGTCCCAGTCCTCCGAATCTGGAGGGAAGATAGGTCTCGGAACAAATATATATCAAGAAGATCTCAGCCCTGAAGGAAATTTGTAGGTAAATGGTGCCTTTTGTCTCGACATATATCTTCGCGTACACTCGAGAAAACGCAGTCAATGGACAACGGCAACCCGGCGATCAATCGGCATGTTGGATTCGCGATCGGCACAACCATGCGTGGTTATGCAAAATGCACGGGAGTGCTCTGCGATTCAAGTGCAGTCAAATGCAGTCAAATAGCAACTCAAACAGGTTGCGCATTGCAGTGAATTAGCCTGCATTTGGTGCTTGCATTGGGTTGCATCGAGGTGCATTGCACTGCATTGGGATGCATTACGTTGCATCCCCTTGCATTGCCTGCATTCAAATATTGTCCGAGAAACTCAGTCATAGCCGGTTGTGCCAAGCCATCGTTTTCCACGCTCTCGCTGTTCTTGCCCTATCCTGTGCAATTGATCCTGTGCGCCGGTGTTACTGCTTACCGCCCGGGAGTTGCATTGGTTCGTGGTCCGTGGAGGAAGGCGACGGCGTAGCACGCTTCAAGTTGACGCCGATTGCGAGTGAACACATTGTTCCGCTAGCGACGCAAAGCAGGGCCGGGTGAGGCGCCGCAAAATCATCGTGGTAAAACGGAAACAGCGCCATCGTTGTTCGGCATTCGGCAACTATAAAGGCCGGATATCGCCGGCGCTTCTTCCTCCCTCCATCATCGACTCCGAGGCTCGACCCAGCTGTGCATCCTTCGCCCTAATCTCTCTTGAGCTTCTTCTCCCCCTGCAACACTACTAAAATTCCTCGGCTTGAGATTGCGGCCGAAACGCAAATTACTCGTCCGTCACGACACTGGTGCGCGGGAATCTGGACCAGCGTTGTGCTTTTATACTTCCTTCAACTCGCCCTGTCACCCCAACGTGGTAGCGTTGCGAATTTACGTGGCTCGGCTGTACTACTTGAAAATCATCATCTAATTTGGAGCCCGTATCTTTGAGCTGCAACGTGCGGAAGGTGCCCTTTCCTGGAGTACTGACTCGGTGGCGGGTGATCTGCGGCGCCATCGACGTGGTAATGCTTGCGGAAGACACCCGTTCGACCCGGGCCCGAGTCCTTCTCAATTGATATCATCCACTTTTTACTTCCCAACCTCGTTCATCCGGTACGAATGTTTCCTTTCTTCCTTTGTCCGTTCTCGCATGCACCACTCACAGCTCCTCAGTTGTAATGCGAGGCATATCAAAGAACATACGCAATCGGAGGTGCCCTTCTCTTACCTTCACCATCTTCGCTCCGTCGCTGACGGTTATGCAGCATCAAAACAACATGCATGTAGACCCAGTAGCGGATGGTCCGCGTCTCCCTTGCTTGAATTTGGCACTTGTACCTCAAATGAATGATGGAGAGCTCCCCCGTTCGATTCGGGGCTGGGTCGTGCCATTTGTTCGGTCTTGCTTTTTTTCTTCTCTTTTAATGAAGTTCTATCTTTTCCAGAATTCTCTCTTGCCAACTATCAAGTCCAATGACTCAGGGATCATGCCCAACCTATTTTGCGATCCGCGTCAGCGGCGAGAGGGAGACTGCACGCCGAACCTTTGCCTCCGTCGCCAATGCTTATCTGGTGGTTACGAGCTGTGTAATACAGACCCAACGGCGGATGGTCCGCGTCTCCCCTCGCTGCTGGGTTCCCATCAAATCCCATATAGCTTGCGGAGAAGTCGCCCGTTCGATTCGGGGCTGGGTCGTAGCACCGGTACAGGTGATATTTTCTTTTTCCCTCCGGAGTTCGGCTCTGTTTCAAAAGTTCATCCGCAACTAGCTTACTCATTCGATAGGTGCGAATGTATCCAGGCTGGACTCATTATAACTAGCGACTCAGTGACGAGTGGTCTGCATCCGCTCTCCGTGCAATTCAAAGACAGTGCTTGCCGCAGACGCCCGTTCGATTCGGGCCCGCGTCGTTATCGCAAGATGGTTTTCTCATTTTAGTAATTTCTTGCTTGTAGTGAGTCTCGTTGCTGATGCGGCTGTTTTTCCTTCTCTCCAGCCTCTTTCTGACGTCTATTCTAGATCTTCCCCTCCAATGGTAACCACTTCTGCGAGGCTCGAACAATCGGAGGTGCGAGTCCGGTTAGAACTGTTTGTATAATTTTATTTTTCTGTTTTCTCTATTCCAAGCTATCAAGTCCATAGATCAGGATGAACCCACTTTGCGAGCCACAGACTCAGTGGGTCCGCGTCTCCCTTGCTTGCCAAGTGCATTAGACGAATGATCGAAAATTCGCCGCTTCGATTCGGGGCTGGGTCGTTATAGGAATGTACTGTATCTTTTTCGCCCTCTGTTGACTCAGCCCAGGGTTTTCTTGATTCTTGTGCTCCGTGCGTCTGCGAGCTGTTTCAACGGCCGAGCTCGTGATTTTTAGATGGCGAGCTTCAACGGCAACGCTCCTCCCCCATTGAAGATTATAATCCGGTGGATATAACTAGTGTGTACAGACCAGTGGCGCAAGGTCCGCGTCTCCGTTTCTCTCGTCTCAATAAGTGAAAGCGAAGGCACCCATTCGCTTCGGGGCCAGGTACTTGAATGGTTGGGTTTCGGTTTCTTTTCCCCTCCTTTTGGTTCCCCGATGGTGCTGTATGATTTCAGCAGTCTTGGCATGTACTTCAACAGGAATAGTGATACTTACATGCAAGTAGGACGTGTTGAAACGGTGCGATTTTGCCGGATTTTCATATTGGAATTCATCTGGGTCGCCGATTGACACGGTGAGCTTTAATGTTTCGCCGTGCGTACTGAGTTTCTCACTGTGCTTATCATTCATCTGCCGCAGTACATATCTGCTCAACCGCAAATTTTCGAACATCGCACACAAAACTCCTCCTGGAGACAGGCCAATCAGGAGCGTGGGAAGGATGTCACTAGCGTGAAGTTGTGACGTGACCTCACGCGTCGAATCCTTTCCCTGACCCTCATCTTGCCCAGTGCTTGTACTCTTATCCATGGCTGTCAAGACACGTCTCTCTCACTCGCCACCGGATCTGGCGGACTCCGAGCGTGCCTCTCAGCGCCAAAAGCTCGCAACGGAGCCGCCGACGAAACTGCCGCTGACGCGCCACGAAGAATTTTTCAGAGACGATGGTGATTGCTACTTGCAAGCGGAGAATACGATTTTCAAGGTGAATTTTCCCTTGATATTCGTTGTGGACAAGGAGCTGAAACACTGGGCTCAAGATCCACCGCTATCATCTGCTACGCGGAGGGTTTTCGATCTTCGCAGACATGTTCATGATTCCTTCAGGGTACCACACATCACAAGGAAACACTGAATGCGACCCTATTGTCCTTGCCGGCGATACTGCTGAGCGATTCAGCGGCTTTCTTTCTGTCGCGTACGCAGAGTAAGCTTGTTCTTCTTATTATTTCCCCCCGCCTTTCCACTTACAGTGAAATCGTCGTAAATCAGACTCTTGGACTTCCAGATCGCGGATATGTGCCAACACAGACTGCCATCCCTCATTGACTGCGCTTTTTTCGCCCACAAATACAATATCACCCCACTCCTAATGGCAAGCCTTCGCGCGGCAGCCCACCTCGCCGAACGTGCGATTCCGCTCGACTGCGCAGTCGCTGCCTCGATTCTCGCGCTTAGTTCCCTTTGCGACGATGACGGTCACGAAAGCTACACCAATTCCGCGTATGACCTTGAAGAAGCAGTGGAGCTGGGGTGGATGTCACAGCTAAACGACGGCAGCGCTTTCGAAGATCTGGCCGAAGCAATGGATTTCGGCGAGGACTATGAGCTTCAAGGTCTCCTCGCCCTCGCCGCCCTCTTGTATTTGGAGAAAATGTCCTCAATTAAACGGCCCCATCTCACTCCTTCTGCTGCGCAGTTTGCATTTCAAAGCCACGACTCTCTCCGACCTTCGCACCGCCTCCGTATACTCTCCGGCGCGTGGTCAATGGAGCAGCTCTGGACGCGTTTCACGTCTGCCATACCGCCCTTCCCGACGGGCGTCGTCTGCAGCCAGGCATTCCCCCGCAACCTCGACTTCACGTCGCACAAGACGACGTGCGTTGGGCAGTGGGAGAAGGACTGGCGCGCGGCCTTGTCGTCGAAGGCGGTGAGGGAAGTGTCGTGCGGGCATCTGGCGAAGAAGCTGCTCGCGTTCGAGAGGGAACTTCAGCCTGCATTCGAAGCGGGTTGCAGCAAGAACGCGTTCAACAGTGTGAACCCCGTCGCAACACTCCGTGAAAGCTTTGATGCTCACGACCATTTCCTTGACCCCTGATTATTTCTGGTACGTGGCATTTTGTTTCTCGCGAATTTCAACATTGAATCCTGATTGCAGCGAATGTCTTCTTGGTCTCGTATTTGCTCTGAATCCTCGGATGGAACACCGTCAGCTTCCTGTACTGCATGTGAGCTTCGCGTCCGTTATGCCCCGTAATTTCTCACCTAATTCGCGCTCCAGCTCCTGCTTTTCTCCGACTCTACCCCTATTCCTTACTTCTGGATGTGATTTTCTCGTCCATTATTCTACCTGAAATGCCTCGCCCACGCCACAATCCGGCTCGTAGTTTGCTCTCTCTCTCTCTCTCTCTCTCTCTCTCTCTCTCTCTCTCTCTGTCCTTCTTCTGGAACAACTGTATCTGTGTTCTTGGACTTGCAATAAACCGTGTCATCCCCATCTTCAGAATCCATAGTGTACTTTATCGCACTCGCTCCGCATACGTCGGAGTAGACGGGTTTTGCCGTCCCCTTTGTGGCTCCAGGGATATATAATTGGTGAGAGGTTTCATTTTATGTGAATATAACAGCGGTATGATATCATTCCCGGCAGTTGTAAGGTTGCGAAATCCAAAGAAAGTCCTAGCCAAACGCACAGAGTGCTTTCGACGAGGGCATCCCCGATCAACGACGCAGAGCCGATATTTTCTGTTGCGATTTTGAACACCGTCTATTGGTATGTCGCGCTCTCGCTCTCGCAATCCGTCTTCCTTTCTACTCCACAAACGCTCCACGCACCACCATGCATCCATTTCTCGCCCATCAACTCCACTCGCGCGCTCTATCCACACCAGTTTCCCAGTCCCCACTCACCTATATTCTCCTATGTCGAGCAGTATATACATGTAAGATGCATCTCACACTCATCTCCAGCATCCACTCTCCTCACGCCCAATGTACCCAACCCTCATCCGCTTGCTCTACCCGGAGTTTCCATATCCAATCTCAACCATGAAGTTCTCCGCTGTCATCGCTACCTCCACCCTTTTCTTCGCCACAGCGTTGGGCGGCCTGATCCCCTCCCCTCCGCTGGGGACGTGGCCGACCACATAAATATGGCCACTGGCATCGCCAACGACCTCGGCAAACAGGTCGGCGCGCTCACCTCGTCTAGCAGCCCGGCGGACATTCAGGGCGTTGCTCAGGTTTACATCTTCTCTTCGCACGCCAATAAATGTACTGACCTGATTTTTGACTAGAACGTTGCTACCAAACTGCGGAGTTTCAGTGACGGCGCCAAGTCATACGGGGCGGCCGCGCAAGGCGCACCGGCCTGCGGAGACGCTGATTCGCAGAACGTTGCTTCGGCGTGTAAGGTGGTAATTATTACCTCCACTGTCTCAGAAAATGACCCATCGTTCAAATTTACACAGCCAACCAGGACCTCTTGAACAACCTTGTCAGCCAACACGGTCTCTTCCAGCAAGCTGACGCCACTGACCCTATCGCCAGCGTCTTGCCCCTCCTCCAGGGACTCCTGTCGGTAAGCTTTCTGCCGTATTATTTGCTGATTTCTTTTAGTCGCTCGGAGGCGTGTTGTCCGCGTTGATAGGGCGACTCTGTGAAGGGTGCGCAAGGGACGCTGGGTGGCTCGCTTGGGCAGGCAATTTCTACGTTCCAGTAAATTCCCGCCAACGCAGCCAGTGCGCAGAGTACGAAGAAGTTTTGATAGACAGAGAATTTCGGGTGTATCTTCATTCTAGCTTATTGCTATATTGATTTCTCCTGTTCCATCCAGTCGTCCGGCACTGTGAACAACGTTATCCCATTGCTATGATATCAATGATCGGACAGCGGCAGATGTTCCGCATGTTGGGATTTCGTGCTATGTGGCAATCGATGAGAACAGAGTAAAGATTTGAAGCCTCGCGAAGTATGACTTTCGCGCTGGGCGCACACCACTTACCTGTATCGTACCTGTAACTTGTAAAATGTTGCAGTGGGTTTGTAGAGGAGATTAATTCTTGAGATGTAATAAAAGCGACAGAATACGAATTTCCAGGCAAGTTGTGCCGGAAGGACGCTTTCACGCATTTGCGAGCGCAGCCCTGGCCTCCGAAGCTTCCCAGTGTAGGCGCATAACGTCCTTCCAGAGATCCTGCAGCCAACTCACCCTCGCTCGCAAGTCATCCACATCACCATCATCCTCGTTGAATTGCATGTCCGCCGGCCTCATATCCCGTACGTTCGGAAACGTCGCGAATAGATACGCCGCAACGGTCACCGGCTGAATCAGCACCGAATCCTCGACCCTGAAGCAAAACATGCGGACCCCTATTTCTGACTCTGGCGGCGGATTATCCGGAGGTACATTGGATGCATCGAATCGCATGCTCAGGCGCCTGAGGTCGCGACAATAGCGCGCGAGGGAGCGCAGACCGCGGAGCGTGACTTGAGAGGGTGGTCGGCAGTATAGGGCACCGGCGTCGAGCGCAAGGTTCTGCACTCGTGGCCACGCCTGCGCGAGGGTCTCGATCGCGACATCGTCGAGGTCGAAGTTGAACTGGAGCCTGATGTGGCAGAGGTGGGCGAAGCAGAACAAGGACCGCAGTGTATCGAACGGGATAGCCCGAGACCGTGGGTCGGGACGTGTGTCAGCGTCGATGGCGAGGCGGGCGAGGCGGGTGGCATCACACCTCTCTGCAAAGAGTGTAAATAGATTTGCCGTTTGCGTTAGGGTGAGAGCAGATGTCATATTAGCCCCAAGACTGATGAGGGACCAGGCGTCGTTCACGGCAATGAAGCGCGAGAGAAATTGGGGCGAGACACGCCTGAAGTCGAGTTCGCGTAGGTTGAGGAAACTGTAAGGGGCGGGAGGGGCTGAGGGAGCGAGCACCTGGACACCGTGGATCTTCAGCGATTGAAGAGTAGGGAGCAGTGCGAGATGCTCAAATGCTATCTGGTTCATGGTTCCGACATCCAACCGTTTAAGGCGGGTGAGACCCTGAATCATCGTTGAGTAAGCTTGAGAGAGCAAATTCAGAGGAAGATCCGGGCTTGCGACCACCGTCACAGATTCAAGTAGTGGACATCGCGTGGGCAGCGTCGACAGAAGTGGGAGATGCGCTAGCGTCGACAAGACACCAAGCGAGATCGATTCCAATCGAGGCCCAAGAAAAATGTGCAGGTAAGGGAACCAGCGCAGTTTTTGTGGTCCATATTTGAAGACGCGCAGATTAGGGAACATTTGGTCCGCGGGCAGAGATGCGGCTAGCATTTGTAACGCAGGCCGCCATACACTGTCGTTGGATCGGCCGGTAAAGTCGTGAATGGAAAAGGCTTTGATACGACGCGCGTAGAAGCTGAAGCGCTTCCAGTCCTCTGGCTCGATAGCGCGACGTGGGACCTGGAAAATGATTAGGAACCTTGATTAACTGTCGGGACAGGAACCTACCATGTAAGGAGACATGTGTGCTGGGGTGACAACCTCCCAGAGGTCATCCGGCATACAGGCAAGGATATGGATGAGTGTATCCTGAGTACTCCACAGATCATCCAGAGCTAGCTCGCTGAAGCTGCGACAAACTCGAGTGAGTGAACAGATGGCCGTGTAATCGCCAGGATCCCAGGACAGCTTGAGCTCGTCATATATCAATCCGCGCAGCTCCGCGATTTCGAGCGCGGGATGCATCTGAGAGTTTGTGTAACGGGTGGGAGGAAACGCTGAAAAAAGCAACAACACACAAAATGGTACCGCCACAGCTCTGGAAGTTCCCACGAAGAATACCCGCGCCAGATTATAACTTTCATCAACTCAACCGGATTTTGGACCAAAAATTGGTATGTCGAGTTCAAGCTCGATTCTCTCACCGCGTTTCCTTGAGATTTCTGCCCAGGTGAATACAGTGAGATGCAATGAGATGGTTGAAATGACGCTCACAGCAATACCGCATGCCATTTTTTTGCGCTACCACAGACTCCACTCGCATACGTTCCATCCAGTGTTGGACATAGTGCAATGGATAACACGGCCTCGTGATCTCTCCCATGGTTCCGGGATGAGAGGCAGATCAAGGTTCGATTCCTTGTGTTCGCAATTTTTTTAGGATAATAAATTGCCTATTCCCCCCGCTTCCTATAGTTCACTTCGCAATTTCACCGTATGGCCTGCTATCAAGCTCGAGTAGTTAAATTAAATTTCTCCCTCAAATCTTGTTCGAAATTGGCCTTCAATATTCCTAACCCATCATCCCCTCAAAGAATACAAAGCAGCCGTCGTGGACTGCGGTAAGTCCCCCCAAGACCAATCATGTGTTGGAAAAGCATCTCATGTTACTCCGACTCCTCCCGGCGGCATTCAGCACCTGACGCATTCCATCGTTTTGTTCCGTTCGACAACCCATACGTGGGCTCGTCGTGGTACCGCTATTCAAACAAACGCAAGTTTGCCCCGAGGAGCACAGGAAAAGAAAACATAATGGTATACATGAGGACGGTATATGAGACGCAGTGAAGTACGCATAGGGAATAAATGAGGCAATAAAGAGTAGCGTCCTGAAGCGCGATTGGTGGAGGGTACAAGCAAGATGAGTACGGTGAGAGTTGAGAGGGGCGGCATAGTACACGTCGTCGAACCAGGCAATGCAAAACGACACGCCTAGGCAGTCACCATCCGCACAAACCCCTCTGGATCCCCCGGCGCGCGCACCAGTCCCTTAAACACGGTCTTCCCCCGCAGAAAATCGACACGTAGCACGCCCTGACTGCGCACCGCCATCTCGCGATCGCGCAGTTGCGCCGGCGCCGCCCCGCTCCTCAGCGCCTCCATCCGACACCGCACCGTGAAAGCATTCGTCACAGCCGCCTCGTCCTCGCGCCCCAGCTGCGCCCACTCCGCATGCGTGATGCGCGTGTGGAATGCACGATGCAGCGCGACGAGCACGTCCGCGAGCGTGATGGGCGGCGCATGGGTGTTCGCTTGGAGCGTGAGATCGATGGGCCAGAAGGGCAGACGGCCGTGCAGGATGCGCAGTGTGAACCGTGGCGGGTGGAAGGCGGGCTCGCGCAGCTCGGCGGCGCCGACGGGTGCGCCCGATGGCGGGTACATCGAGAGGCGTCGCATAGGGAAAAAAGCCGATGGCGCGAGGTCGAAGTGGAAGTCGGGGGAGGGCATGTCGCCGTTGAGGAACGGGTGGATGTGCACCGCACCCTGGGGTCCGCCGGCGGTGGTGTATGGGTTGGCGCCGGTTAGCCAGGATGGTGCGATGGTCCACGACTTGGCTTTCTTGTGCCCGGGTCTGAAGTAGGATGATTGTGCGGTGAGAAAGGCGGGCGCAGAGGGTGAGAGGAAGGGCGAGCCCGGTGGAGCCGTGGGTGCGCTCCACAAGTTGGTGCGCGGCCGTGGCTGGAGGGGGAACCACGACGCGGCGTACGGAGACTCGTACTGTGCCGCTTCCTCTGGCCAAAGATCGCTGTTGGGGTTAAACGCATTCGAACTGTTGGGGAGATCGGTGGTCCCATGGTAGGGAGACGATGGGTAGAGAGTGAGGGAAGGCGGGAGGAATGGTGAATGACCGGCCTGGGGCGACGCGAAGTAGGGGATGTAGTATGGTGCGTAATACGGGGCAGAGGCATCTGCCTCGGGGACGTAGACAAAGGGTGCTGCCATGATAGTTAGATGTAAAGTTGCCCTGGACGATCCTGGCGCGTTATATATGGACTCAACGACGGCGGCTGTGTATCCGGACGCGTCTGTAAAGGGCGGCTGAAGAGAGACTATCGGTGAGTCATGGATGTCGGCGGATGTCGGCGGGATGGATGAAAAGAGGTGCGTGGCCCGCCGCCCGGTAGCAAAGGCCTTTAAATAAGCAAGAGACCGCTGACACATCCACACCGCGCACCTGGTTTTCTGATTCCCAATCCCACCCAATCTATCCCAAGACTCCCTCGGCGCTGGCGCTAATTCAGTGCGCATAAGTAGAATGAATGGGCAGGCGTCCAGCATGGAAATCCGATGAGGGTGTAGCGCATGCTGTCGGAAACTGGGCGATACAGTCGGGCGTCGGTGGGATGCTGTGGGGGGCGGAGCGCAGTGACGAAATGTGGCGGACCGAAAGACAGCAACGAGGCTGTGCGGGCAAACACGGAGAACTGACGGTATCATTCGGACATCTAAGCATCGTGTCAGGCGTCAATTGGGCGTCTAACTGCGACAGGTTGATTCCTCGAAAGTGCGGGAGAATCCGCCCTGAATTGATCATCGTTCTTGGTGACCGTTGGATCGATGATTTTTGTTGGATCATGGTTTGCCTTGGGAAAAGTAGACGCCGCGGAAGTAGATTTAGCGCCTAAAAAGTTGGCGGACTTGAATAGTTTCCAGCTGACGAAGTCATGTTGCTGAGCTGAGGCTAGAGTAAATGCCAGCACTGCCGAAACTTAGACAGTGTTTCTAATTTCCAGGTTGAAAACTTTCAAGACTCCACTGCAGTGGAGTGAGCGCTCATTTTTTTCCTTCTGTTTAGCAAAGAAAAACGTGAGCTACATCCACAGTCGAGCTCACAGACCCCAACCTTGCAGCTGCAAAACTTGCCTCCGTCCGCTGTGCCCTCCATTCCATCCCAATTCCATTCTAGACTCTAGACGGCATCCGCCTACAGCTTGCCAGTGGCCGGATCCATAACCGCCATAAGAAGTGCAACCGCGACTGATCCGTTACAGCGTTAGAGATGAGTGAGTCGCACACCAATAGCTGGACAATGCGAGGCGCTAGACAGCTAATTGTGAGTTCCGGATTTCGCTTTTGGCCCTGATGAGATAGAACAAGTCCAACGCCTAAAAGGGTATATCCATTTTTGAAAGAGAGTAATGGGTCAGCGACCATACACAGGGAAAGGCTGTAAAGGAGGTGATGTTAGATTCGGTATTGGGATCTCGGACTTCAGTTTTCTGTGTCTCCGCCCGGACGGCAGGAGTTTGGCCTAAATTTAGAACCAACTCCAATGCATTTCCGGGCCATGGCGCTTGGTTTACCTGGCTTTCCGGACAGCAAAATCTTGACTCGGTGATCCGAATTCGAGACTGGATCTGAAGACAGAGCGATGCATCTGTGTCCTCTCGAATGCTGTCGGGCAGTAGTAGTGGTATTGGGATTGAGCATGCAAAGAAGATTTACCGGAGATGTCCGCTGACCAGCAGTTCCAGTGCTTTCTTTTCCTTCCAAGGGGACGGCAGCCACATATCTTCCATGCACAGCGTAAGAAACGACGCCGAACGATGTAAAATCCGCTTACTAACCATCCGATCTGGTTCCGCACATCTTCAACCGATTAAGTATTCGCACAGCGGATGCGCCACAGTTCTACGGGCTAGACCCATGGGCACTACACGGACTTGCACTGACCGGTGTTTACGGTTCGGGTGAGAAGCCAGGACGGAGACGATCGGCGTTGATTTAAATTGTCCGCGTTCCTCCGAGCCTTGAGTCAGCCCTGGGCATCCCCCGAATCCGAGTCATCCTTCCGGCGAGCAATGGACTGGCTCGCGGGAGCCAGTAAGCCTCCAGGATAAGCATCGCGCAAAGTCACAGAGAAAAAAGCCGCAAGCGCCGGGGATAGGGTAAGGAAACGAGAACCGAGTCAAAATCTGCGTCTGGGGTTGTGATTGGGCGCCGAGGGACAGATTGGTACCCAGAGCTTTGGAAATACGCATCCCTTGACCGCAGAAGCCGCGAGCGCCGGTAATAGGTTACGGAAACCGAGACCGAGTTGGTATCCGAGTTTGATAGGCGTCCGACTTGAGTCAAAAGATTTGTACCAGAAACAGCAGTAGAACGTTCGATATAGGTAGTGCTGCCCCCCGCACAAACTAAAAGGCCCATTCCAGTGGCAAAGCGCTTGTGATTGCCAATTGGTACGCAGGAAGAGATTCGTGTCAGGACACGAGTCCATCTAGCCAGATGTTCCAGAAGAGTTCGTGGGGGACGTGGGGTATTCAGACATGGAGTCACTGGCGCTATCGCGCCACTATACGAAGCCTGAGAACTCCGAGTCCGACTCCGGTCACTTCTGGATTCTGAGGACGAGAAAATTTGGAAATTTAGTCGAGGAACGTTGTGTGATGTATGCGTACTTGATTGTCAAAGCTTGGAATACCATGAATTTGTAGAAGATTGGATTGAGAGAAGTAAGAATTGATAATTAATACGGCGAAGTTACAACAGCTTTTATACTCTACGGTGAGTACCAGAATGTTCTATGTATTAGTAAAATACTGAGTAAGATAATGAGTAAGAGACTCGGGCAGAAACTACGAGAACAGTTCAGTGCTGCGCGCTGACTGATGATCCGAACCGAAGGCGCATCAGCGCGTCGGCTTGATTAGTCAGCTTCAACTTCCAACAGAATTACGAGTACAGTCGAAGTGCGGTGGTGGAAGTTGGGTGGAAGGTCGAGGAAGGAAAGAAGGGAAGGCTGACCTAATCGCATCAAATCCCAACATGACCAAATAAAGCGAAAAAACGTGACTGGCTGTGGCTTTCTTCCTTCCCACCACCATCGCCTGTCTTCTGCTCTGCGCTGACCGTCAGCGGGCATGTATCCCAAAGATGGCTTCTGCCGGAGGGAGCTCGCTCATAGCTTTGCATGGGTTGGCAACTTGGAGGCGCGCTTTTTCTATTGACTTTTTCTCAAATTCTCTATCGGCGCTAGGCGTGCTGCGCTCGCAAGAGCGCGCCGGGGGATGGCTTATTTCATTCGTTTCTGCAGGCGGATCTGATTCTCTGTCATCTCCTATGCCAGGCTTCGGCCTCGTCTCCTTCAAGCGAACAGGACTGAGACAGTCCTCGAAATTGAATCCGGCGGAGAGCCGGTGGGTTATCTCTACAAGACGACCATCAGTGGCCGCGCATCCTTCTCGGCCACTGCATGTGGTCGCAATTTTCTGATAGACGGCGGAATGCCGTCTGGGTTCTACGGGAGGCTGTTACAGCTATATCTCGCGGCTGTACTTGTGTCTTTCCCTCGGCGCCTACCATTATATTGCCGTGAGGCCGTAGACGTGGGTTGCCTGCTCCGCGCAATGCGGGGATGGGGTGGCGGC